GGTCTAGGCCCGAAACGTCAGCCTTCCTGCTCCTCTGATGCTGCTTGGCCTGCTGTGTTCATCCAGCTCTACACCTTGTTATCTTAGATTCTCCAGCATCTGCAGTTCCTACTATCTTAGAAATATTATCAAGAGCTCTTGTGCAGTGGTACTGTTCCTACATCTGGGCCAGAAGGTCTGGGTTCAAGTCCCACCTACTGCTGGACAGGTTGATTAAAAATATTTTTTGAGACATTGAAGTGATATGAAGAAAGCATTACATAAGTCATTTCTAAGCCGAGTGTGAAACTCCTTCTAACTGTGAATGCCCACTGGGAAAAGGTCAAGCTTCTTAATAACTGTAAGGGGATACAAATACTTTTGACATGTAAAATTTTGCAGAAAAATTTTAAAGGCTATCTTTTTCTTCATCGTCAATTGGGTACCAAAAGATGGATCAAATGACTCTAGATCGTTTGAAGATGCCTTAGCTTCCCAAGGTGGGGTTCAGGATCTCAAGGAAAGTTGAGAGCTGAAATTTTGGGGCCATGAGCTCCAATGGCAGCAATGCTGTCTGAGTTCATTAAAGCCGCACTCCTGCTCTCACAGATAAGCTCCTGACTTACCACACCCCCACAGTACTCACTGAAGTGTCATGATAATTTTCAAATCTTGAAATGTAGTGGGAAAAGGAGTTAGGAAGTTCCTGATCCGATCGGTATGCTTCTTGGGAATCATCTGAAAATACTAGCCTGTTCAACTGTGCACATTTGTCATAAATATACCTAATTTTCCCTCTCCTCAGCTAACTATTACACAGGCAAAACTCAAAACTACTGGGATTACCCAGATGTACCGTCTAATCTAACGTAGCAATTGAAAAAAAAACACACAAACGAAATGTAGCATCACTGGATAGGCAAGCATCCATTACCCATCCCTAATTGCCCTGGAGTGGCAGTGGTGAACTACCTTCTTGAACCACTGTTGTCCTTAGGGCTGTAGGGACACCCACTGTGCCTCTCAAAAGAGTTCCAGGATTTTAATCCAGCTACATTTCTGGAATAGCGACGTTTCCAAGCCAGGATAGTTTGTGGCTTGGACGGGAATTGGCAGGTTCCCGTACTTCTGATGCCCTTGTCCTTCCAGATGATAAAGCTTCTGGGTCTGGAGGATGCCTGTCAGAGGAGCCTTAGACAATTACTGCAGTGTACCCTGTAGATAATATATACTGTAGTCACTAAGTACTGGTGACGAGGGAGTGTATGTTGAAGGTGGTAGATGGGGTGTCAATTAAGCAAGCTGTTTCATTGGGATAGTGTTGAGATTCTTGAGTTTTCTTGGAGTTGCACCCATCCAGGCAAGTGAAGTGTACATCACAGTTCTGAAAGGTGCCTCGCTGTTGGTGAACTGATGCTCTAGGGAGTCAAGAAATGAGTTACTTACTGCAGGATTCTTAGCATCTTGTAGCTACAATATTTATACGGCTGGTTAGTCCAGTCTCCAGTCAACGGTAACCCTCAGGATGCTGACCATGAGAGATTCAGTGATGGTAATGCCAATGAGCATCAAGGGATGATGATTAAATTCTGTCACTGGAGATGGTCATTGCCTGGCACTTATGTGATGTAAATGTTTCTTGCCATTGATCAGTCCAAGCATGGATACTGTGCAGGTCTTGCTGCACTTGGACACAGACTGCTTCAGTATTTGAGAAGTTGTGAATGCTGCTCAGCATTGTGCAGACAGCAGCAAACATCCCCATTTCTTTTATTTTGATGGAGGGAAGGCCATTGATAAAGTAGCTGAAGTTGGTTGAGTCTAGGACACGACCTTGGGGAACTCCTACAGTGAATCCCTGGGGCTGAGATGATTGACTTCCAACAACCACAACTATCTTCCTTTGTGCTAGATATAACTCCAACTATATTTTTTCCCTGATACCTATCTGCTCCAGTTTTGCTCGGGCTCTTCGATACTACACTCGGTCAAATGTAGTCTTCACGTCAATGGCAATCATTCTCGCCTAGTTTCTGAAAATTCAGCTCTTTTGTCCATGTTTAGACCAAGGCTGTAATGAGATCAAGAGCCAGATGGCCCAAGTGGAACCCAAACTGAGCGTCGGTGAACACGTTATTCCTTTGCAAGTGCCATTTGAAAGCACTGTCAATATCTTCCAGCACTTTGCTGATGATAGGGTGGAGTTGGATTTATCCTACTTTTGTGTGCAGGACATACCCAAGCATACTTCCACATTGTTGGGTAGATGTGTTGTTTGATGTATAAATGTTCCAATTACCTTGCTCTAATATTTCCCTCTAAGAACACATGCTCATTGATACAATAGGGAAAAGAATAGTAAATAAATTTGAATTTAGAGAGGAAAATGGCTTCCATACACAGCTGCTGTGGCACCACAGACAACATTATCCTTTATCTTTCAGATGTTGACTGTGCAGTTCCAGCACTTTCTCTTCTTATAACACATTCTTTGTACTGTTCTGTGCACTACCTTAAGATATTGTTTGAACTGGTCACAACAAAGGCTAATAAGAGCTGAAGCCATTGTCCAATTATTTGAAAATTGACAACTGCAGCATTTGCCCCATCACTTGTAATTTCATTAATGAGTAGTTCAGCTTCCACTCTCCCTTTTGCAATGTGCCTGTTAGAGTAGAGAGACAGTCTCCGAGTAAATCATTTAAAAGGCAGTTCAAAGTTAATAACTTATAATGAAATTGCGAGCACTGAATAACACGCAAAGTCTCACAACCAGCAGATATATATTAACACCCTCAGGTCCCAAGATATTCAAAGTCTACTGTGTTAGAACACACATCTAGGTTTTCTGTGCAATTGCTAATGGATTCTATCACCATGGCAACGAATGGTTATCAGTGAGACCTAAAAAACACCCAGCTTTTTGCAGCAGCTTCTTTTCTAGTTGAAAAATAATACATTCCTCTCTCTTTCATTTCTCTAGCTTTCAAATGCACTTTTTTGTGTTAATTGTTTAAATGTCTCCACTAAAATAATGGATAGAGAAGCTCGAGACAAGTTCATTATGCATTTTGTATACTACAATGTAATCTCAGGGTAATTGCAAACAATTATTGTGCTCTTCCTCCACTTTGTTTTTGCCAGTGCACTTAGCATGCTCAACACTTGTGTTATACCATAGCTAATTCCACTTCAATAAAAGTTTTTTTTTTAATTTAAAGCGTGTTTATCAAAATTGATAATAGTTGTAGATACTTGTTCCCTCACTGTACAGGTACTTCTTAAAATCTGAGTATAATAATTCATGTGTATTATTCTAAACAGGTTCTATGAGCAGCAACTCTCAACCTTTCCCTCAAATCGCTAAAACCTGAACAAATAAAGGCTAAATGGCAGTGCAAATATACAAGACTGCTTTCTGTTCAAATGTTGTGGATGCTGGCCATCAAATCAATTGTTTGACAATAATCTCCCTTGGCCAGTTTTCAATCAGGACAACTGGAGTTGACCATTTTGTGAGATCGCTGTGGTGTCATTGCAAAAGCATGTCTCTCCCTATCCCTTAAGAGTGGTAAACTCCTCGGGCTTTCAGTTTCTCTGTAAACTTTTGTTAACAGTCATTTTTTTTTTAAAAATGAACCTTTTAAACGTGTTACCTTCCTCAACCAAGCAACGCAATTTAAAAATGTCCCAAACAAAGCTTGCCGATAAGTCTTGTAATGACGTCACAGCTTCGGGCTCACTTCCAATCTGTTTCTGGCTACACAAAATGCCAAACTTCAAATGGCCTCTGGCTCTTCAATCCCTCAGCTGAGGAGCCAGAGCTTGTCTCGAGCAGGCAAGCTTCCAATCCAGAGAATAAGGTTGATGGCGAAACAAAGCCCACCAGTCACTGCACCAGTTGTCCTCTCATACCCTGTAGTAGCAACTGCCTTTAAAGTGCTTCTTTTTCCTTCTGCGAGCATCTGCTGAGCTTCATCTCTGCCAGTTGGATGTATCTGATCACATTTGTATCTGCGTTTTAAACAAAGACAGAATAAGCACAAAGTTGAGCCACTCTACACTCTATGCACTCACTGTTGTATCTTGGATTACGAAGCTTCACCAGCCCCACCCTCCTCCTTGGGAAGTGCGAACTTTGGGTACAGTTTCACAACCACCAGCCGCCTTGAACATCGTCTGACTAGACAGTACAAGCCAAGAGGCTGATTCATTACCTTGCCTCATGACTGAGTGTGGTGTTACCCATATACAGATGAAAGCAGAGAGTTGAGACAGAAGGAGTTTGCTGCCTTCCCTCAGTTTTGGGGCCAATCTGAGCGTTGCCGTTATCACCCTGAGTGTGATCGCCCACCTCATTAAATTGCAGGGCTTAAGACTTCCTCTCACTCCTTTCTTATCTTGGCATTTATACAACACAGGGTAGTTCAAAATCCCCAAAAGGTCATCACTATGGTTCAAGGAATGATCGGTGTGGGGACACCATGCACGTCATCGTTCCTCAGCCTTCCTTTGAACCTGTGGTTTCAGTGCATTTAAATACAGAGGAACAGGGGAAGCCTAAGGGACACAAATAAATTGGAGTTGCCATCTTCTTTACTGGTCCTGGTGAATTTTCAGTGAGAATGAATTGAAGGCAAATTTCAAAATACCTAGAGACAAGGAGAGAACATAAGAAATAGATGCAGGAGCAGGCTATTTGGCCTCAGAGCCTTCTGCACTCTTCCCCACCATCACCCCCATTTCATTAGATCATAGCCCTGAGCCACAACACTGTGTCAGCTCCTCATAGCCCTCATCACTCTCTGATTTGAAAAATCTATCTTCCTACTCTTGAAATACTTTCAGGGAACTCACCTCCACAACTCTCTGGGATAGAGAATTCCAGATATTGACTATCCTCTGGAAGAAGAAATTCCTTTCCGTCTCAGTTTTAAATGAGTGTGCTCTTATTCTATAATTATGCCTTCTAGTTCATGAGACCAACCCCCCTCCCAGTGGAAATACGTTCTCAACATCTACCCTCAATCTTGTATGTTTCAACAAGATCATCCATCAGTCTTCTATGACTCAGAAGCCCCAAATCTCTCACACCTCAATCTTTGAACCTCTCATTTACCACTAGCAAGCATTGAGATTTCAGAGGTAGGAAGCAGATCTAGAAATGGTAAAGAATTGGTAAGAGATGTGCTTAGAAACAGGGAAGTATCTAAATTTTTGATGTATCAGCTTTTTGGTGACTTTGCATTTTATATCTGCTCACAGCAAGGAAACAATGAATGCCATCAGGAAATCTGAACTGCATCAGTGGATGTGGACCAGTGTACAAAGGCAAATGAATATTTTTCCCTTTAACATTATTAAAAAGCAATTCAACACTTGCATTATATTACAGCCTTTAACACAGTAAAACATCCCAAGGTGCTTCATAGGAGGTTCATCTCAATCAATCAATACCCCAGTACACAAACTTACAGACCATGTGACTTGTACTGATGCCTTCCAGAGACTGTCTGTCCTCATATCATCTGCTTCACCATACAATCTTTTACATGGCTTTGCCATGTCCTGAAGGATGGTCTCCAGGCAGCGTAGGCAAGAAAGACACACATCTGTACAGTACTCTTCACCAGCTTAGGATAATGTTCCAAGTTTGGAACTGGACGACCATCTGGCATCAACCTAGGCACCGGAAAACACAATGGAAGAAACAGCCCTGTCAACCATGCAAAGTCCTCCTTACTAATGTCTAGGGGCTAGTGCCAAAGTTGGGAGACCTATCTCACAGCCTAAGCAACAGCCTAACATAATCATTTTCACCGCATCATATCTTATAGCAAATGTCCCAGACACCATCATCAACATCCCTGGATATGTCCTGTCCCAGTGGCAGGACATACCTAGCGGAGGTGGTGGCACAGTGGTATACACTTGAGAGGGAGTTGCTCTAGGAGTTCTCATCATTGACTCCAGATCCCATGAAGTTTCATGGCTTCACATTAAACATGGGCAAAGAAACCTCCAGCTGATTACCACATACCGTCCTCCTTCAGCTGATGAAACAGCACTGCTCCATGTTGAACAACACTTGGAGGAAACACAAGGGTAACAAGGTCAGAGAATGTACTCTGGCTGGAGGATTTTAATGACCATGACCAAGGGTGGCTCAGCAGCAGTACTACTGATCGAGCTGGTCAGGTCCTAAAGGACTGGGTCTGCAGCAGGTGATGAGGAAACCAAGAGGAAATATATATTTGACCTCATCCTCACTAATCTGCTGACTCTGTATTTCATCTGCCCATGGCAGTATCAGTAAGAGTGACCACTGCGCAGTCCTTGTGGAGAAAAATTCTGCCTTCATATTGAGAATAACCTCTATTGTGTTGTGTGGCACTATCACCGTGCTAAAGGGGACAGAATTTGAACACATCTAGCAACTCAAGATGCGGTATCGATGAGGCATTGTGGGCCATCAGCAGCAGCAGAATTGTACTCCAGCACAACCTGTAAGCTCAGGGCCCGCTATATCCCCCACCTAACCATTACCATCAAGCCAGGGGATCAACCCTGGTTCAATGGAGAGTGCAGGAGTACATGCCAGGAACAGCACCAGGCATATCTAAAAATGTGGTGTCAACCTGGTGAAGCTACCAAACAGGGCTACTGCATGTCAAACAGCATAATAAGTAAGTGACAGACAGAGCTAAGCAATCCCACAACCAATGGATCAGATCCAAGGTCTGTAGTCCTGCCGCATCCAGGCGTGAAGGGTGGTGGACAATTAAACAACTCACCTGGAGGAGGAGACTCCAAAAAGACCCCATTCCATTTCATGTTGGAAGAGCCCAATAAATCAATGCAAAAGATAAGGCTGAAGCATTCGCAGCAATCTTCAGCCAGAAATGCAGAGTGGATGATCCATCGTGGCCTCCTCCACTGGTCTCCAGCATTACCGATACCAGTCTTCAGCCAGTTCGATTCACTCCGCTTGATATCAAGAAATGGTTGGAGGCACTGGATACTACAAAGGCTATGGGCCCTGATAACATTCCGGCAATAGTACTGAAGAGTTGTGCTCCAGAAGGTGCTGCGCTCTTAGCCAAGCTCTTCCTGGACAGTTAAACATTGGCATTAGTCTGACAATGTGGAAAATTGCTCAGCTATGTCCGGTACACAAAAATAGATCCAACCAGCTAATCACTGCCCCATCAGTCTACTCTTGATCATCTGTAAAGTGATGGAAGGTGCCATCAACAGTGCTATCTAGCAGAACCTGCTCAGCAATAACCTGCTCAGTGACACCCAGTTTGGGTTCTGCCAGGGCAACTCAGCCCCTGACCTCATTATAGCCGTAGTTCAAACATGGACAAAGAGCTGAATTCCAGGGGTGAGGGTGACAGTCCTTAATATCAAGATTGCATTCAGGAGTCCTGGCAGAATGGGAATCAATGGGTATCAGGGGGCAAACTCTCCAGTGGTTGGAGTCATACCTGGCACATAGAAAAATGGTCATTGTTGTTGAAAGCCAGTCATCTCAGCTCCAGGACATCTCTGCAGGAGTTCCTCAGGGTAGTGTCCTTGGCCAAACCATCATCAACTGCTTCATCAATGACCTTCCCTCCATCATAAGGTCAGAAGCAGGAACGTTTGCCGATGATTGCACAATGTTAAGCACCATTCACGACTCCTCAGATACTGAAGCAGTCCATATTCAATTGCAACAAGATCCGGTCAATATCCAGGTTTGGGCTGACAAGTGGCAAGTAACATTCGCCATCACACAAATGCCAGGCAATGACCATCTCTAATAAGAGAATCTAATCACTGCCCCTTGACATTCAATGATGTTACCATCACTGAATCCCCACTATCAACATCATGGGGGTTACCAATGACCAGAAACTCAACTAAACTTGCCACATAAATACGGTGGCTACAACAGCAGGTCAGAGGCTAGGAATACTGCAGAGAGTAACTCACCTCCTGACTCCCCAGAGCCTATCCATCATCTATAAGGGATAAGTCAGGCATGTGATGGAATACTCCCCATCTGCCTGGATGGGTGCAGCTCCAGCACTCAAGAAACATGACCCTATCCAGGACAAAGTAGCCTGCTTCATTAGCACCACACATACAAACATCTACTCCCTTCACCATCAACACTCCATAGTACACACTGCTGCTATCTACAAAAGGCACTGCAAAAATTCACCAAAGATCCTTAGACAGAACCTTCCAAATCCAGATGGACCACTTCCATCTAGAAGGGCAAGGGCAGCAGAACACAGGAACACCACCACCGGCAAGTTCCCCTTCTCACGATCCTGACTGGGAAATATACCACCGTTCCTTCACTGTCGCTGGGTCAAAATCCTGGAATCCCCTCCACAAGGACATTTAGGTCAACCCACAGCACATGGACTGCAGCGTTTCAGAAGGCAGCGCACCACCACCAGCTCAAAGGCAAGTAGGGACAGCCAATAAATGCTGGCCAGCAGCAACACCGATGTCCCACAAAAAAAAAGTAATTAGATGCCAATGAAATTCTTACATCACTGCAGTTAGATTTTAGCCACAATCTTGCAGAGTTGAAAGGGTTACAAATGAGTGACACCAATACCTGTGGTACCAATAGAATGGCCCTCCTTATAGAGGGGAATGTTACCACAGCATGAAGGGCTCACATTAGCAGATCTCCTTAAGCCAATACAGGGGCTTGCGTCCATTTAAACTGACTGCACTGCCTGTCAATATCATCATATTGTCAGTGTTGAGTTGACAAGGCCCAAGCTGCTGGATTAACTGATTAAAATGAACAGTTTACACTTTGTGAAATAAGCCAACTGAGGTATGCAGAGAGTTGGCTACCAATTCACCTGACAGGAGTCCCATACGGGAGACTGCCTTCCTGAGTATGTGGAATGCCCTGGCTTTTTGTGGCACTTCCTGACTGCAGTCTCCAAACAGGCAGAGAGAAGACTGGTGGAGGTCTTTCTGATGAGGAGTCAAGTCAA